AAACAGTAAGTTTACAAGGTGGTATACCTTGGCATTTCCTTCCTTTTCTCCTTGGGGAGGAGGGGGAGGGTTCGACAGCATGTAGGCTAGCAGCAACTTACTGACCTAGATTGCTCAGGTTATGAGCGTTCGAGGGTTGGAGTCCACTTGTGATGGACTGAACTTATTTCAAATATTAACAATATAATCTTAAATTTTATCCTTGTAATGATAGAGTCAGAAGATAAGTTTTGACAAGAATATTGAGATTGATCTTTCAAGCTCTCACCTTCAGGAGTAGAGGAAATGTCTACGAAACTGTACGGAGAAATTGTAATCTTGATGCCGACATCGTTGTATCAACAGGGACTGCACAACCTCTGGCAGAGCGAAGCAAGATAGCAGGGATTTTGATTTTGGTGTTCATTTTAATTTTCCTGATCGTTGGTGCTGTTTTTGCTTTTATTTACCGGGAGCAATTGAAAGAGAAATGGCGAACATTCAAGCAAAAGGCCCCCGGCAGTAAAAGGTAGAGAACTACATGGCTTCCCTCTTAAGTTGGCTTTTACTCGACTTTGTTTGTCTACTTTTGTCTGTGTCTGTATTTTGTATCTGTCTGTCTTTCTGTTTGTCTTTGTGTCTTTCTCGTACCATCGGTCCATTGGCCTTTTTGCATCTTTCTGTCTGTAAATCTCTCTCTGTGCTTGATTATTTGTTTCTGTCTGGTTGTAGTGATGCATCTGTTTCTACATATTTCTGTCTGTTTGACTAACTGACTGACGCGTTGATTCTGTGTTTCGCGCTTACTGTGATGGTTTTTTTTTTATCTAAAAAAAAAAAAAAAAAAAACTTCCCTTGACACATAATGAGGCAAAAAAAAAAAAAAAACTACCTCTCTTCCTGGGTACAGAGACTAGTTTTTGAAGGAATCTTGATAATTGAGTGGATTTATTTTGATCCCTTTGAGCGGCGGAATTTATTTACATTCATCTGTATTCTCGTTTCCTAGATATCAAGATCTGTCCCGGGCTTCTCTTAAGCAAACCAGGGATCGTAATGGAGCAAGAGCTGTAGCAACCACAAATTCTGAACCCCCAAAACTAAGACCCAATATATCGGGACCTAAACTCCAAAGTTCCACCCGAAAGGAGCCTACCGTTAATGTAACGCCTAATCCGCTGGGGACAAGTAGATTCATAGCCGCTAAAGAAGAACAACCGACCTCTCAGCCTGCAGTGGTCTTCAAGCCTAACCCACCGAAACCGGAACTACCTAAACCCCCTGTTGTAGAGAAGGAGAAGCGTCCTCCCAACCTTCCGCCTGTCAAACTTCGAAATCGAGAGTGGCCACCCAAAGGTGATAAGACAGCCTCATTAAATCGCGCCTCCAGTCCCCCGTCGGTAACGGAACCAACCAGACCGGTAAAACCTGTGAAACCTCCGAGACCAGAAAGTCACGGGGGTATTTTAGATAAACCATCTGTCCCTCCCCACCCTGGTGTAAAGGCTCCGAGAGAATGGCCCCCTCGCGACAAGAAGAACGAAACGCAGTCAAACCCAGCCCAAGCATCCAAAGTACCTGCAAGTCAACCGACCGTTCCACCTAGGCCAGTTCCGAAAGCTGTAAAAGGACCGTCAGAAGAAAGACCTTCTTCTCTTCCACTGAAACCGTCCGATATCAAAAAGGGCCTTGGAACCGGAAACGATAGGCCTATTTCAGCTTCAAATCCTGTAGGCCCTAAAAAGGTTCCTCTTAAGCCCCCTGGACCCATTCCAAGGCGTCCTGGAACAAAGCCGGCGTGAATCATGGGATTTCGCTATCGCATGGTGTACGTAGACAGACAATTCGTATAATAAAGTTATGACGAACAAGAAAGTATTAAATTAATTATTCATCGTAAAGCGAACTGCTTTTGTTATGAAGTGAACTAATGATACAATGTGCTAATTAAACCAAAGTAAACCAAGATACTTGAATGCAACAAAGCTCGGTCGATGTTTCAAATAAGGTGTCAAGGTGTGGTAATCCCTCTCTAGAAAACATTTCACTTCTTTTCCAGGAAAAGACTAGGTAGTTAAAGTTTTTCATCCAAGGAGAGGAATGTGTTTCTTATTTATTGGTTTTTGTAGTACTATTTTACATGTTTTTTTGCCACATTTTTCCGCCGGGTCGGTTGTCCAGTACTTAAACACCGAAACAAGGAACAAGAAAAATAATTCAAGTACTTAAGAATTTTTTTTGAATTGGGTTCTTCTGTTGTATCTGTGTCGTTGTGAATGTTCCAGTTGCCTCTAACACAACCTGTTAAACCTTAGTTCTTAAATACAGTCTTCTTTTCGCACATGGCTCAAAATTCAGTGCTTGATCTTAACCTGAAAAGATAAAAAGATAGTCTCGAACAAGAACAACTTGGTTCTACCAATGAAGTCGTAGAAATGTCATTTTTTGTTGTGCTGTTCAAGACTACTTTTTAAGGACAAAACTTAATTGGTTTGTTAATTGTCACTGGCCGAGGCGGTTGACTTGAACAAAACGCTTGATTATTCTAGGAATCGTACTAAAAGTTATCAAGAACGGAACACTCTCCCTAACTTCACGGGTCTGATGATCAGTCCCAAACGCTCGCACCAATCTCTAAGCGTTTGATCAGTCCCAAACGCTCGCACCAATCTCTAAGCGTTTCATATGCGGTTCTCAACAACGCTGTTACACCTATGTTCTATACATTGAAGTGTGAAGTATATATACATTTTTTTCTATTTTGGTACGTTTTATTATTCTTTATATTACTGTAGGTGAATTTTATATTGCATTTTTAAACGCATCTTTTTTTTTTAATTTAGGGTTATTTTAAAATTACTTTCCTTTTAACATGGTTGGCTGAGTTGGGATACAGTTCTTTTAAAAGAATGGTATTTAAGTAATTGCATACATTTGTTCATTTTAATCATAGTTTTTATCCATTGTTTCAGTTTCTAAACATATGAGAACGCGGTGCTTCATTGAATACGCATGTCTGTGGAAATTATAATAACACGAAAACTTTACGTTAAGCTGATTAAAGTTGAAAATGTCAAAAGTGTTTTTAAGTTTTTGTTACTGTGCGCTGGCCATAGCTCATGATAATGCCGGGCCGATTAGCGCTAACCCAGAGTTAAATTTTAATCCAGATTTCTACATTTCTCTGTTCAAAAGTCGTTTAGGGATAATTTTCCCAATTCTATTTAGAGCATTCAATCAACAAATTGTAGACAAATGGAATAAACTGAATTTTCTTTAAAAGCTTTTAGATCTCAAATCAAATTTCGCATTAACCCTGGGTTATCTTAGCCTTGCTTTGTACAACCTGAACAACTGCACCCCTGTCCACTCTTAACCCGACATCTGTGGACTGGTGACAAGTTAGGCCCCGTGCAAATGCACTGGATTGAGCGGGGTGATCAAATGACTCAACATGTTGAGCATTCCGAAGATTTCACAAAGGCTCATGGGATAACATATCCCGACCTTATTCTGTTAAGTTCTCGGCCAAGCTGAGATCGAAGGCCAAACATCTTTGTCTTAATATCTGCTACCTCAATGTCTAGTTCGTCACTCATATCACTGAGTGCTTTCTCTCTCGTATTTTAAATGGTATTCTTTCGTGCTTACGTCCCATCAGCATGTATTTTTCTCCAACAAATCAATCAGCTTCTCCGTTCTTTCCTCTGTCCATTTTCTTGTATTTACTCTTTTAGAATTTTTTGCATTTGAACTTTCCTGTAGAACTTCTAACTGCTACGACGCCATCTTGTAAAATGTTCGGTATGTTTAAACTCCCAATGGATACGCTGGACACTGCGCGTGCGTGGGCTCAACATGTTGGGAAAGCGTACTCCGAAATCCGTCAGAAGGAGGTCATCTTCGGGTAGATTTCCGATTACGAAATCGGAGCTCGCCCGATGATGTCTTCGTGATGATGGCCCTATTTAGCATTCTGGACCCGCAAAACAGAGTAGAAACGAACACGTACTTCGTGTTCGCTTATCACTTCGTATTAGCCGTAAGGGACTTGCTTTTTTTTCGTTGCTTACCTATTTTACAGACTCCACAAAATTTTTGCGATGCCTCCTTTTCATGATGGCCGATCACAACTACAACATAGTGACACCTCCGCGAAATGTCAAAAGGAGAATGTTAAAACATCGGAAATGGAGAGGAAAGATAAATGTTGCGGTCGATTAACTCCTAGACAATTGAATGGTCCAAACTCGCAAAGGCGGGAAACTTGTTATCGTCCAAGATATCAAAGTATCTGTTTGCTCACTCAATTCGTATTCAGCGTTCGGCCGTAATAATTTCGCTTTCTGAACAAAATTTCGAATTCTATGATGGCACGGAAATTAATTTCTCAAGAGGTGTAGAATGCCGAGGAAGAGTCAAACCTGAAGTCTCCTTCTCGTTGTGCGAAATGTTGTAACTGCAAGGAGTTTTTCACACGAAATGCATTTCAACAATTATTTTGGAAGGTTCAAATACAAATTGGCGTTGTCCAAACTTCGAAAGAGCCCTTAAGCAGGAAGAGAAAAATAACCATTAATTTAACATGAAGCATTTAAAAACTGATTCTCTGAACTTCCCATTAATTGTTTGTTAAGATAATCGTCGAAGTAAAATATATCTATGTAGTAATTTTTATCCATGTACAAGTCAGCTAAAAGAATTTTTAAAACATATTTATAAGAAACTGTTTCGTGTAGATCTTTCCCTGAGCATGCTCTTGCGTTTAGAATTGAAAATCCTCATATAAATATTGTAATCGCTATAATTTAGCTCAAAATATTTTCAACGATATCATGGCACAACGCAGATCATAAAGAACATGTAATAGGTGAGACAAGTCACGGATTATCCTTGTCGACAAAAGTAATATCGCCTGCTCAGTTATATTCATACTTAATCTCCGTCCAATCGAGGCAATGTACAATTTTTTAATCGATTACCATATTAGAAATAACAATATATCACTTAAACTCTGAACGTAATAACTTTAAATTTATTTCATCAGAAATCAAGAAGATTTTTAATAGTTTTGGGCGTGGTTGCTTTTACTGAGTTAACCATATCATATACCTAGATGTTTTATCTGAAAAGCTTTATTTAAGAAAGGTATTTCTGTTCACAATGCCTTATTTCGTGCGAAAATAGCTCGTATTAAAACATCATATCTGGTGTTTTAACATCCTCCTTTTGACAGATTTCGTGGAGATGTCATTACATTGTAGTAGTGATCGGCCATCTGTGAAAAGGAGGCATCAAATGTATTTTGTGGAATCTGTTATGTAAGTTAGCAACGGGAAAAAAGTGCAAATATCTTAACACTAATACGAAGTCATAAGCGAAAACGAAGTAAGTGTTCCTTTCTACTCTATTTTGCGGCTCTAAAATGCTAAATAGGGCCTTCATAGCGAAGAAAACATCGGGCGAGCTCGGACTGGATTTCGTCCTCAGAAATCTACCCGAGATGACCTCTGGTGTTTTCGTATCCTCTTTTTGACAGATTTCGTAGAGGTGTCACTATGTTGTAGTTGTAATCGGCCATGCATGAAAAGGAGGCATCGCAAAAATGTTGTGGAGTCTGTAATATAGGTTAGCAACGAAAAAAAAAAAGCAAATATCTTAAAGCTAATACGAAGTCATGAGCAAAAACGAAGTACATGTTCATTTCTACTCTATTATGCGGGTCTAAAATGCTAAATAGGGCCATCATCACGAGCACAACATCGGGGGAGCTCGGATTTCGTAATCGGAAATATACTCGAGATGACCTTCTTCTGACGGATTTCGGAGTATGCTTCAACATGTTGAGCGTTGCTGTACAAATGCACTCGCCTTTGTTGAGCCATGCATGGATGACCGCGAAACAAAGGAGATGTTGAGCCGTGTTGAGCGAAAAGTTTGACCAGTTTCAAATTTGATTCAACAAGACTCAACACCGCTCAACACCTCTCAACGGGGTGTTCAAATGCATTCAACTTGTTGCGCTCAACATGTTGAGAGCGTGTACAGTGAATAAATCCAGTGCATTTGCACGGGGCTTATGGGAGATTTGAATACAAGAATACAGTGATCACATGGCATCGTGATGATCACCCACTTGGTAGTCCAGATTCACAGCGATTGACGTCTGTACAATTAGAGGGAAAGGAGTCAGGAGAGTCAAGAGAAGCATTTTTCTGACAGTTGCCGCTGCTCTGCTCTAACTCACTGATCGGTTAGTGGCGTTATTTACTTCATTCACCGATCCTTCTCGTCGCGTAAATGCGAGCCCACTTATACACAAGTTAGAACAGCAGTACAAGCCAAATTCACGTAAGGGGTGCAGAAATTCCTAACTAGCCTCCACCTTTCCCTTACACCTTTGAAAAAAAAGAAACGTAATCAATAAGTTTCCTCTTTTTCCCATTTTGACCTTTCTGTGTTAAATACAGCCGTGTGAGCTGTCCTTTTTTTTTCTTTTTTCGATGGTGTACAATTAGAGATACTCTTGACGGATAGTTATGGAACCATATACACGTGTTATTTTGGCTTATTTAGAAAAAAAAATTTCCTTGACCATGTTTGCTACAAATTGTTTTACTAAGTGGGTATATTTCCAAACAGCACAAGTTGTATATGTATTCAAATTTGGGACAAATTTCTCTGTTAAACCAATACATGGTGATCACCACTATGATTCGTTTCGTCTACTGAGTTCAAAATGAAAAGTGAACATAAGATAAGGATTAGCTATTGTATTGAGGACTTGATACTCGCCTTTTCCTTTGAATACTATACTGACCCAGTTGAGAAGCTAGGTTAAGTTTGTAACTTCAGGCGCACTTCGAAGAACCTACCAAGTTAGCAAGAAGGATTACCGTAGCTAGTCAAGCAATTCCTTCCTTCGACCACACCATCTGACAATCGTCTTCATACTGAATGTTTCCAACCTTGGATGGTCTAACTTAAAATCTCTCGCATCAATAATCCGAACAACTAATGCAAGGATAATTTGGAAAGACAAATGGTATTACAGAGATTCCCTGCCAGAGTGTCTAAAGGAATCTGGGATTATTTTTGTCAGTTGGTTTACTTCGTTTTGCGACTGATCCAGAAAAGAAAACTCGCGCCACTTTATGAAACAATCAGATTAAAAGCTAAAACCACTCGCTACTTGCTCCTTAGTATTTTCCCGCATTCTCATTGGCTCCTCGTGAAATTTTCCTTGCTATGATTGGCTGTTGTGATTGCTAGCAATCAAAAAGCGCTCGAACGTTCTTCGGCAATAATATTGCAATACTGAATGTTATATATAAACAAAAGTTTAGTATAACGTTTTAGATACTTTGAACACTATTGCAATATTTTCTTATATTCTCCTTGTTATCGTTTTAATGTGAGGTTTCCATTATACTCTCGTATCCATCCTTGAACCCGTCAGAAAATTGTGTTCTATAACTGTAATGATAAGAGTTTCCCTTGTCTATCTTAAAATTACGAATAATGACCTGCTTGTTGACATATTTTTGTTTGAAAAGGATGTCAGATTTGTTTGAGAAACGTTGAAAGATGAGCAGTTTGCTTTGAATCTTTATTACGAAAAGTTGAGTTGATTCTTCATATTTATTACAAATAACTTATTTAGTTTTAAAAAATGAATATATATACCTTCAGGATGTAACTCAGAGGAAAACACTTCTAATGAAACATTGATAATGTTCTTTAACAGCAGATCAAGTTCAAAGACAAACTCCTTCGGAAACTCACATGTTATGTCTTTACTCCTTGAATCCGGCCATCTTTCTGTAATGTATATACTACTTTGTTGTGAGCAGTTATAACAGTTAATTAAACAGAATTATATTTGCCTCGCCGCAGAGCTTATGAATTATATTTTTAATAACTTGGTTCTTTCGTTGTGTCGCTGAAAGTACAACTAATATAACACTTGAAAAAACAAAAGCATTTCGCGGCCGAATCTACAATACACCATGATAATTTGGTGTGTATCAACTGGGTTGATGATGTAAATTTGCCACGTACTGTAGAGTTCTAGAGCTGCCTTTCAAGCGCTGGCCCTTCGTCAGAGGTTTACCACTCTGACGAAGGGCAAACGCTAAAAGACGTCAACTTGAGTAACTTCTTACAGTGGCCGATTTACGCAATTAATTATCTTATAATAACTCCTACCGACCCAGTACCACAATGAGAAATTTACCACCTTTACCTTAGACCAGGACAGACTCTCTAAGAAAGATGTGTTTTGTATTGCCCACCATTCCGTTTAAACATACCTCAACAAAGAATGCAACAAGTTCCAAAGTCATTTCTATAAATAACTTCTGACGCTGGTTTGATCTCGACTCATCTTGTTTTTATGCTATACGACTTCAAGTTATCGTGATAAAGAGCACAGAATATTAGCCAAACGCAATTTTCGGCAGATCGTTCTGATTTTAAAATTAGCTGTTATCATGAAAACCTCCAAAGATAAGAGTATAGATTTATTCAAAATAGCAACAGAAGTAATTTGAGCAATATTTTTAACTTGCACTAAATGTTTCGTAAGAGAGAGGTCCTCATAAACTACCTTACAAAAAAAAATTAACCAAAATCAACAAAGTATGTACTTTAGGGTACTTCATTTTTGACTACAGTACATTTGTGAAAATGAACAAGTGGCGACTTATTCCTTGATACCCCCCACTATCAAACCAAATCGGCAGGAGACCCCGAAGCACTCGTTCTCAATCATCTGACCTATCTGCATTTTTCATTAATATTACTTGGTCTGCTAATTTAAAACATATTCGGAAATTTGGGTGCAAAAGATGATGTAAAGGAAAGGAAAGATGACACTCCCCTTGTCAAAATGTTAAACATAAATTCTAATAAATATAAGAGTAATTACAGAGAGAATTTTAGATTTTGGTTTTGATAAATAAAATCTTGCATGCGGTTAATTTCGGATAAATGAGTAATTGGGATAAGTTTCTAAAGAAACTGTGGTGCTGCATTGGTGGTGGGGTACCAGAAGATAATTTGGTTTTATCAACTGAGTTAATAATGTAAATTGGCCACTGTAAAGACGGTTTCAACAGGAAACTGACGTTTCGAGCGTTAGCGCTTCGTCAGAGGTTATGCCAATTTACAATATAGACTCAGTTGATAAAGCCAAATTTGGCATTACTGATAAGTTTCTCCCACAACGAGTGCTTGTGATGTCAAGAATTATCGCACACTAAAGGAAATTTTATTTTAAGGTTGCAGACAGTCATATACACGTCCAGTCTCCGGTTAGCAAAAAGTGGAGGGAAATGCTAATCAGATTATCGCGTGTTGTTGGCCAGTTTTAGATCATAATTGAAATTGAAACATTATCACCTTGTCAGTATTAGGTTCTTGTTTTGCCACGGAAATCGATTACCCGAACGTGTCGGCATCTTCGGCTGATGTGGCTCCAGGTTTGGTTTGGGGGCACAAGCCACGACAACATTGTCATGTAATCGTTTCATCTTAGTCACGTATCCTCTTCATAACGGAAATCAAGAATGTAAATATATAAATCTCTTACAAAATTAAACTGGAGTCATGATTCATAACGGAAGCCAATATTTTCAAATGGCTTTGTGTCTGATATCATATGATATTATAGAGGTTGTCTCTTTCGTTTGGCCGAAAGGGTCACCAATCAACTTTAGTTTACAATGTTTTTTTCCCGTTATAATTCATCTCAAGTTAAACCAAGAAAATCGTAAAGTTCGAACGGTCAACAAAATAATATGAAAAAAGCAAATGACAAAAAAAAGGCTCGAGAAGGAAACTCGAAAGGGAAAAAAAAACAGCTCTGGGTTGAGGTCACGTGATAATGTTCACTGTTTTGATTGGTACATACTGCTGTTGGAAAAATTGAACCCCTCAGCAAAACAAAACAAAACATTTTCACTTCTATCCGTAACGCTTGAGAGATGAATGGCAGAGAGTTGTCTCTATCACCCCGTTCAATTACCACTTTTGTAGTGCTGTAGTGTTTACCAAAGGACGGAACGTGTTTTACAGCGAGGGATTAGAATTAAGCCTCATTTGACTGCGCGAATTAACCTCACAACAGACCCACCCGAACTTATTGTCACATCGCCAAGCTTATGAAACAACTCGTGCGAAGGCTCCTCCAACTGAACCTGTACCTTATCTCCCAGACTTGGCGAATTTCGTGGATGTTTGCATTCTACGGAACTAATTTCTCCATCGTCGCCATTGGAATGTTCTACGTTATTGATTTCCGTCGTTTGTTTTGATGTGACGCATTACCACTCCTGTTTTCATCACTTTCCATCCGCAGGGAAGCGACTGAAGAATCTCCTGTTTTGACACTCGAAAAGGGAACTACCTGGTTCTCTGTTGTAAAGGGATTGTGACTCTGAGGTATGGTAATGCTTCAAGGAGATTTAATTGACGTGAACAGGTATTTTCATACCAAACTGAGAAAATCGCTCCTCTTGCCAGTGCGCCCGCCATATTAAACGACGATAAGAACGTAGTTAAGTCCCCTAAACAAAACGTCATTGTCTGAACAGTTTATGGGCTTTGAGGGATTATCTTGAAACACTTTTTAGTCGGTTTGGTTTACAGGTAACCTCCATAACTTTTTTCGCTCAAATTGCATAACGACTTAGAGACTTCAGGGTGATCAGTGCGCCTGTTTAACCAGGCGGGAATTTCAAATAAGCATGGACGAAGTCGACTATGACCATGAGCTTCCTCGTGAACTCATCAAGTGTGTCTTAGTTGGAGACACTGGTGTTGGAAAGACACGCCTGATTTGTGCACAAGCTCTGGGAGTTGGTATCGCGGCACCCCGACAAGAGGCAAAGCAACCTATCCATTTTCCAACAGTTTTTGCAATTGACCAGTATCATGTGTCTCAAGAAATTAGGGAGCGTGCAAACTTCCGCGTTGATGGAGTTGATGTGGCATTGAGACTGTGGGATACCTTTGGCGATCATGAGTTTAATCGTAAATTTGCATATCAGAATGCTCATGTTGTGTTGCTCTGTTTTTCTTTAAATTCCCCAAACACTTTCAAGAATGTCAACGCGGTGTGGTATAGTGAAATAAAAAAGTATTGTCCCAGAACCCCTATCATTTTGGTTGGTATGCAGTCTGATTGGCGTTTGTTTGGCAAAGAGACGACGGTGAACTCTAACAGGAGTTTGTCGAAGCGCATGCGAGAGTGCTCCCTTGTGACACCAGACATGGGTCGTCAAGTGGCAAAAGAGATTGGTGCAACTTACTACGAGACAAGTGTTGTGACAATGTGGGGCATCCATCATGTGTTTGAAAATGCAATTCGTGTGGCACTTATTAACAGACGACAGATGAGGTTTTGGTCATCACAACTGAAAGGGATCCAGAATCCACAACTTCAACCCCCTTACTTACCAGAAAAACCTGACCCTCCCAAGGTTAGTGTGCCACCTTCAACCTTCAAGGAAAACATTAAGGAATTGCTTGATAGTGGCATGTGTGCAGATGTAGAATTTCTGGTTCATGGTCACACCATCAAGGCTCACAGAGCAATTCTTTGTACTGCAGCACCAACATTTGCTAAGCTGTTCTCTTTGAATGAGGAAACACTCTTTAAAGGGCCCAGCACTAAGGAAAAACTTGTGCTTCAGGATGCTCTTGTGTTTGGAGAGCGAGGAAGTCTACCTAGGGGTTTTGTGGCACTCGAATCTTACAATGGTGTCTGGGATAGTGAGGAACACAGCTCGATGGTTCAAGTTACAGTTGAAAACTCTCTTACATACAAAAATTTCATGTTCATTCTTGAATTTCTGTACAGTGGAAATATTCCACTTGAAGTGTGCACTGAGGAACTCAAAGATGCTGCTCGAAATCTTCAACTCAGTAACCTTGTAAGCTACATTGCTAATGTCATGAACAATGTAGAGTACATGAACACTGAAATTCACTCAAAGATAGTGAGAGAGATGTCCTCTTGTGCTAAAAAGCTGGTGAACTCTGACATGTTCTCTGATATTGTGTTCAGGATTGAAGGCAGGATTGTTATGGCTCACAAGGCGTTTCTGGTTGCACAGTGTGAGATGATGGCTGCGATGTTTATGACTGGACACTTCAAAGAAAGTGGGGTACAAGTGGTAAGAAATGTTTAAAAAATATTTATCTAAATAATGAATTAATTTTTATTGTAGTGGTGAGAGTAGATGGATCTATCTCCAAAACCTGTGGCCCAGGTGTGATTTGCAAACTAAGCATCATCTGGGGGTTGAGTTTGTCACTGGTTCTTGCCCCTGCTGAAAGGCTTTTCTCCAAGTACTCAGGTTTTCTTCCTTCCACAAAATTCAACTTTCTAAATTCTTATTCAGCCTTGAAACTGAGACAGGCTTCAAATTGGGGAATGATACAACCAAAATCATTTATTTTGGTAGTTGTTGACTATTTTTTGGTATTGAGATGCTTTTACGATTCGTGTGCATGAAATGCTGTTTTGAGCAGACTTGTGATTATGTCGAGAAACTCACCATCAAAGAGTTCTTTCAGGGATTACTTTTGACAATATAGTCTTTCATTTTGAAATATAAACTCGTGTACTGGAATCACTGAGAAAGGAAAAAAAATTGCCAGATCTTGTTAATGAAAGGATCAACATAAAATTTTTGTCATAGAATATAGTCCAGATGTATAATGAGATGGTCATCTCTTATCTTTCCCTTTGATCGATTTCTATGGTGATTGAGTGAGTTAGAATGGCATGCAAGGGAACAAGTTACACTTTAACTTTATTTAAAGAGGGAAACGCAATAACCTGTTACAGTTTTCTAACCTACGGCCCTCAACCCACCCATCCCACCCCAGGGAAGGACATCCATCACACAGTAATCTCCTGCGTGGGAAATTAAGCTCTCCTACCCCTAACCCTGCAGGAGACGTGACCTTCATTTATTCGTCCCTATCCGAGAAGACTAGAATATCTAACCATTTCTTGATGTTATAGAAAGGTGGCATATTCTTCTCAATTATTTTAAGACCTTGAGTGTTGGTGCGACCGGGGCTGTAGGTGGCTATATGGTCACAGAAAAACAAAACAGAATTGAAGAAAAATAATGAAAAATTAACAATCAATGCCAAACCACTCAGCACCTTGCAAATTTTCACCTGTTTTTGTTCCTTAAAAATTCACTCGGCTGCATTGTTAATATTCACTACATGAATTGGTTGTTGTTGTACAATTGTACATAAAAATGTATTGAAAATAAGCTATTAGTTCAAACTGTGGTGAACACAATTCTGAGCTAACTTTTACTCTTGGATGAGTATTACCAACCTTAGGTGGCATTCTGAAAATTGAAATGATGATTATTTTAACAGGTGTAGGATGCATTTGGTCAGCTGCACCCAATACTTGGCTCTAACTCAGTGAATAAGTTATTTCTTAATTAAAATTTGTTTTCAGACTCAATCCCCTCATGGATAATAAAACCAACCTTAAAAGTTGAAAGGAATTTTTTGAAATTGAATCATGAATTCATCTTTTTTTTTTTTGTAGTTGAACATTTTCTCGGTGGCATTCAGGCTAGTTGTATCTCAGCCGGTTTTTGTAAAGTATGCTTTATTAGTGAACTGTCACATTGAAAGGAAAACACAAAATTGGAAGAGGTAAAAACATTACTACAGTCAGTGGATTTGGTCTATTGATTGATTTTTTTTTTTCTGTCCACACAAATGTATTATTTCTACTGGGAACAACTGGGAAGACGAGTATTTACATGACAATAAGAATTGAGAAGTGTCTGCCTTAGCCACATTCCCTGCATTTACATGCAAAGTTTTATTAAACATTTCAAATTCGTGTCAGGTGTTGGGGTTAAAAGAGGTGTTGTTGGACAGGTTGTGTTATCATGCCCTTTCTAAACAAGAGGCCCGATGCCAAAGTTTTTCTGACTTGCTTGACTTTCTCTCACCTTCAGCTTTAATCAAACAACTCTTAAGCACAAACAGTCAAATAAGTAAGACTTCTGCTACTCATCCCTTTGACTTTTTCGCTAATCTGCGAATTTTCTTGCATTTGGCATGCAATTTGGTGTGAGTTAGTCAATAAAATGTTATTGTCAACACCCTAAGTAGATAATAATTACTTTTGGATTGAGTGGAAGGGCAAGATGGGAAAATATTTGGCTGTCAGTCATGACATTGAGACCTCGCTATGTTTAGTCTATTTGTAATGACACAAAGCTAAATATTTTTCTATCCAGCCTGACTTTACTCAGTCAATAAGCAAGTAGCATTTTCCGATTGGTTTCAAATTGCTTTTCTCCAGCCTTGCCTGTCTCATCACATGTTGGATGGAACCCTTTATTTAAATATGACATTTTATCAAATTAAAATATACAGCAATATTAAAATTTGGTTAATACATAAAATCCATATGCAATATAAGTTATGTATTTACTATTAAAAAGCTTAATGTTCTAGAACTAGTTTTGCTGGTGCTGGTAGTAATGGTCCAGCTCACCCATAAAATTTTTTAGCGAAGTTTCTTCCTTTAAATTGTTTGGCAAATCATTCCAGATTCTTGCTCTGGTAAATGCAAAACTTTTTCTGTAAAAATCTGTGAGACTTTTAGGGAGCGCAAGATTCATTCTGGAAGATCGCAGTCCATAATCATGAAAAGAGGCGCTATGGGTAAACATTTCAGACAGGTACAGGGGAGTGAGACCATTTAGTATTTTAAACATCAAAATGGCTTTTTGACATTTTCTCATTGTTTCTAATGTCATCCAGCATAATTTACAAAGAACATCACTAGATCTTTGCAAATAGGAAGCACCAGTTATTATTCGTGCTGCACGGTTTTGGAGCTTTTGCAAATGAACAATTTGTGTTTCACTTATACTATCCCAAACAATGCAACAATGTGTAAAATAAGGCTCAATTATTGACCTGTAAATGTCAATTAGGTTTTTTGTTTTTAGAAAAGGTTTAACCCTTCTTAGAACACTCAAATTACGGGTAACCTTCTGTCTTATACTTAGCACGTGGCTATCCCAAGTTGAATATTCATCAATGTCTACACCTTTTTGGTCCTTTTCCTCCCCTTTACTTTGGGACAGGCTTAATTAACCTGGTTGACTCTACCACTTGCCTAGGAGTTAAAATCGACAATAGGCTTTCATGATCTGTGCACATTGATCAGTGAAGAAGCATTTCACACAAAAAGTTGGAGCACTAATGAGAATGAAAATTCTTCCTAAACAGTCACTTGAGGAAATTTATTTCAAATCTATTATTCTCAGCGTAACATATAGTATTTCAGTATGGGGAAACTGCTCACCGCCTGCAATGAATTCTCTGAACTCCATCCACAGAAGAGCTTCCCGCATTATAAACAACCTTCAACCGTCGCTGGCTGGTGATATCTGTCTCAGTAAATCAAATTGGCTACCCTTCTCTTACTTTTACAAAAGTCCGTTCTTACGTTAATGCACAAAGTGTATTTTGAAACTTTGTGTCAGTCTGTTCGAGAACTTTTCTCTAAAAAGACAACTTCTGGGTCAACTCGCTTTCCTAATCAATTTACTATCATTAGGTTTAAATCTGATACTGGAAGAAACACTTTACAGTACAGAGGCCCTGTAATCTGGAATTTTTTAATAGACTAGTTAAAGTGCCTGAAAATTTTAATTCCTATAAGCAGATATTAAAGAAACACGCCAGGGACATAGCGGAGTATTCTCTTAGCAAGGAAGCGACGTTGATCACCGCAAAAAAAGATGATTTTATATACTTTTAAGCATTTCATTTTCTGGTATTATATTATTATTTTAATTAGGCTCTTGTAAATCTCAGTTTTTTGCATGTATATATATTGTTTTCTCCCTGTGCATAGCTTTTATTCTTTTGTTAATATCTTTTGTGTTTGTCAAATTTTGATTGTGTATAGTAGGTCCACATCAGCCCTTTGGCTGCCAAACAATCTCAACCTGCTTATCAAATAAAGTTTACCTTACCTTACCTTACTTTACCAAGACAATTAACAAATTTGACTTCATCCAATTCGGTGTCTAACAAAGAAAGAGCAATATCTTCCAGGCTGGCTACTCTTTGTCTTGATCCTACAACCATAAAATCAGTTTTTAACACATTTAGGGTAAGCCTGTTGGCTGAAAGCCAAGAGGCTATGCCCCTGAGATCCTTTGACATTTTATTCTGCAGGGCAGGGAAACTGCAGTCTGAGATTGTCAAGTTCGTATCGTTAGTAAATAATCTTGCTACATTTTGTCCTCATGGAGGGACTTCTATAATTTTTGGTGATAAATAGGGCATATATGGGACCTTACCAGTCAAATGAAAAATATGTAACTGCTATTATGTTTCTTGAATTACATTATCTGACAGCTCTACAATGTATTGTCGCTGTCATGGTTAAGAGTGTTACTTCTTTTCTTTTCTAGGTTGAATTTAAGGACACCAACTTTGAGGCATTTTTAAATGTCCTAGAATATCTCTACACTGGCCAGTGCCTATCTCTATCTGTGGACGATATCATTGGTGTGTTGGCTCTGGCAAATTTCTTTTGTCTGCCCAGACTTGTGGCTCTTTGTGAACAACACATTGTCAAAGAACTGCAGATTGCTATAGCAACAAATGAAATGGCTGTCGCCGAGGATATAGTCGGTAAGTACTAATAATTGTCATAATGACAGTCAAGACAACTGTTGATCTCACTTAGAAGATGGTTCTAAAGGAGCTTTGTTTTATTATAACCCATAGCTGCGCATTGAAATTTGATTTGAATGTCTATGATGATCATACCTTTGAGAGGAACTTGTCTAGGAAAATAAGAAAACACCTTAAGCACATGTGACTTCTAAATTAATTACAGTCAAGTTAGTTTGTGATGTTTATATGTTAGATGTATTTAAAAAATGGTTTAAAAAAATTAGGGAATGTCACAGTCAGTAATATGTAAGCTAAAAGATAATGGCAAATTTAGTTAGAGGAGGTAGCTTGGTAAAGGGATGATAGAAGTTAAATCTGGAATCACTGGTAGACTGACAGTTCTTTCAGTTCTTTTCAACCCTTCTCGCTTCAACATCAATGTGGATGTCCTCCATACTGTTTTTTTATATTTTTCTGATGGCACTGATAGGAAGAATTGGTCCAAGAATCAATAGTTTCATTAGGTAGCCATCATTTCCTTTATTCTTATGGAGTAAATGTTTGATTCAGGGGCAATATTATAAGGAGAAATTAGACTCTGGTTTCTCTTGTTTGAAAGGGTTTCTGTAGGTGGTAAGAGCACTTCCTTCCTCAGCAATATATAGACAAGAAGAGCAACTCAATAGTTGTCCTTTGCAAAATCTAATATGTTATTTATTTATTCCATCCTGCTATCTACCTTTGGATTTTTCTTCGATGGTCTTGCATTCAAGCCTTCTGCTGTTCTTTTTTCTTGCTGTTCATGTGCCCGATAGTTGTTACTTGCCTTTAAGTTGTCTCATGTTTAACATCAACAAAGGTACACACTGACAAGTGACTCAAACTAAATATTAAAATTGTGTTTTTCACTTCAATTGTAGGCTATCTTTTTGAGGCTCAGATTCACAATGCTTCACAACTAGAAGCCTGGTGTATTTACTACATTGCCACACACTACAATGCAGTCTGTCGTCATTGCCCCAAGCACGTGAAGAACCTTGACTCATCGACACTCAAGTGCATAGAAAAGAAACGGTGGCCACCAGCCTGGTACATTCTAGAAGCTGATTGGTATGAAAAGGCAATGAAAGAGCTTGAAACTGAGAAGGCTACAGAGAAGGTGCGGAAATCACATAAGAACATTAAGCACAAGAGAAAGTGTAGCTGCTTGTAAGAAAATCCTTAAAACAGGGTGACAGTGCTTCACTGTTGTGGCAAATAAACAGAATGTAACCAGTGTATTCTGCATCATCACATAACAGAGATATATATTTTAAAGCCTTAATATAATGAGTATTCATATGAAGTATTAATTTTATTATTATTACTATTACCATTATTATTATTATTATAATTATATAGTCTGACATATAATTTTTGGATACATGTGTGCTACATTGTATTTTTTTACAGTATAAATATAATGGAATTATATTCAGTCAGCCTAACTTACGTGTATCAGAATATCACACATCAGATTATCAACTATCAGTACTGTCACTAATGATATGATTTTGTTATCATTGTTTAATTGTATTTTTTTTCTCTAATTCATTTACTTTTTCATGCAAGTAGAAATTATATTCTAAGCAATAACTACCAGTAGTGCAACAGTTTGGGGCTGACAGTTGTATACGGCCACTCCTAGACTTCACTATTATGGATTTTTCAGTGAAAGGGGTGGGTAGAAGTATGGCTCATGTGAGGGGAATCCTCAATAAAGCCTGGTGCATTTTGTTTTTGCCAACACATTTTCATGCAGGACTTCCATTTACCACTGGGATAAATTATGATGTGAATGTGAGTGGTTGAATTCAGGTCGAGAAATCAGAGCATTAAAGGTTATAAATCAAATTTTATTTGGATTTCAGTTGCTTAAGTAGAAGAAAAACTAAAAAAAAAATGAAAATGTATGTTTATGAAGTTATAACTGTACACATTGGGAGCAAGAGGGGGTAATGAAATTTATAGTTTATTATAGTCACGCTTTTGAGTAGGTTGAAAATTGATTTGATTGTAAAAACAGTTCAAGTGAATACCAATCAATACAGTAAAGTAGTATAGTAATCTTCATAATTAGGAATATCAGTCTTGCACCAGGTGCACTTATAGAGAATTGATTTTATTATCAACTGACAAAATGAATGTATTATGACCAGTGTTGAGTAATAACTGGATGACTTGTATAACATGGACTATACCAAAACATTAGAATAGCCTTTAGAGGTGTATATCTGTGTTTACCAGTACATGATGCATAGGAAATTTTTTGCTGAGATTGTACCTGTGTTTAGAAAATTATATATTTGAAGTACTTTTGAAAAGTTATATCAAGTCTAAGTTTAGCATTCTTTAAACTACCCAAATTGTTTGTGTAGGCATGCACTATTAGTGCAGAACCAAAATGCAAGACTTAGTGTGTTATGTACTTTGTACTTAGCAGGTGTAAACTATCTATTATTTAGTGATATCCTCTGGTATCATCAAGCAATGCAGCCCTTACTTGTTTGAACCAAACTACATTGTACAATTAAATACTGAAATGCTGTGCAGAAAACATCCCAAGAAAAAAATTCCACCTTTTTTTCTTGTGAAAAGGCACTTATGTTTTATTTTCAAGGAACTATTCTTTAGTTAAACTTTGCAAAGCAATTAGTATTACACAGTTGTCTTTTGCTGTTGAAGACACCTGTTGCTCTTTCTTTGTTCCTTTTTTTGTTTATGAATGTTGTTTTGCAAGTCTTGCACAAGTATCTTTTGTAGTTACAAGTTAAATGTGTAATGTATTGTACTATAAGATGAAAACCGCTTGGATCAATGTCAGTATATACTCTTTCTCCCCCTTAACCCAACAACAGTCAACTGCTAACAGCTCCTGGTTAATGTTAGGTAAATGGGGAGGGGGGTAGGTGCACAATTGCCCAGATACTGACATGATTGAACAGCTTTTTTCATCCATTGCATGACTGAAAATGTTCTTGGTAGTTTCACATAGTTACCAACATACCATATCAGGCAGGTTTTTGTTTCTTTCTATTTAGATGCTCATCAAGAGAGGAGTACTGTATCTACTCTCCCAAAGAAAGGGCTTGTTTTCATTTCTGAGGGGACTAGCCCAGTGATTATTATTTATTTGTTTATTTGCCTGTTTTTTTTTTTTTTTTTTTTTGTAGTCAATTAATTGACTGAACTTGAAGTGCTTCCAAAAGGTTCTCTAAAAAAAAACAAGATAACCTGTCACATTACATGAAATAAACAATATTTTTTAGTACATTTCAATTGTGCCAAACTGCTAAGAATCAAAGCACACAAGCATGAAAAAGAATTTAGAAGAAATTACTGTTTGTTTTTCTTTTGGATAGGTTAGGTTTGTGTAAGTGATCCAGACAGGACAAGTACTCGGGTTTGTGGCTAGTTTCAATTTCAGTCAGTAAGAAAATGAGATGTTATGGGAAAACTGTAGAGAGTTGTTAATTTACATCTTGCACCATTTTGTAGTATAGCAAAGTTTAAGTATCAAGGTCACATTAGACTGGACAGCTGTAAAGTATTTTGTTTATTGATGTTTCATATTAGAGAAAGAGAGGTATCAAACGTTTTCAAAGTATGCATACAAAATTTAAATTTAGTTGGGTATTATTACAGAGACGATTTATAAATATACCGATATGAAACTAATAAATACAGTGTCAGAGTCTGTTGTTTCATGCTTATGAATGTCTTATGAGCCAACAGCGAGAGAAATTTATCCTAGTTCAGCAAACCCAGTTATTTGAAAAGTTAACCTTCCAATTCATCAAATATATTTGCTTGCACATGAATGGGCTGTACGCTCAACCTGACTCAATACACCTCAGACAAAACTGAAAATCTGTTGTTCTAACCCACCCACCCCACTACCCATGACTTTATCCGCGAGTTTATAATTGGAAGAAATTGGTCCAGCCAATGTCAGTTGAAATTTTTCAGATTTGCGATATCAGTGGAATTTTCATTTTTCAATCGTTGATAGACTCGGTCCTCAAGACATGAGCCTTTGTGGCAGCGGTAATAGCGGTCAACCTTGGGGCCTGTCCGGTTTCTTCGGGGCTGTGCAGAGTGACGGTGACGTCATCGTTATCTCGAACATCCTTGGGGTCTGTACTTATAACAAAAAGTTTTGTCAGTATGTTACTATTATGTTTAGTCCAAAAACACATTCTCTTTTTATCCCTCGTGTCAATACTACTACATATGGCCTGCACTCTTTATCTTACTATGGTAGCAAACTATGGAACTCCCTTCCCAATTCGACCAGGTCACTGCCTACAGTTGGAGCTTTTAAATCGGCTAGTCGTAATTTCGAATTTGATACTGACTGCTGTCCATTCTGCAAATAGTTTAAATGTTTATCCTATTGTATAAATTACTTAATTGCATATATTGTGTCTTATGTATTTATCTAATTCATCTAATTCATTTTATTTATTTATTTTCTCGGAGATATTAGCATGTTATTTTTGCTACTTTGAAGTCGAGATGAAATAAAGGCTTGTTGTTATTAGAGATACCTAGAACTCAAACGGTCTGAAGTGCTATCGTAAAGAAGGCACGAACCATCTGCGCTTAGAGTTAAAAGACTCAAAGGGCTCTGTCAACAGAGGTTCTGGTGCGTTATTCGTGTGCCCCTTTTGACGGATCGGCACGCCCACGTTTTTGGAACGTCAATCGCGGCCTCTGGCATTACTCGTAAATGAGCGTTTTATTTACGTCTGGGAGACGCTTTTTATGTAATGCGTCCTTGAACTCGACAGGAGTAGAGTCTTTCACAGAGAACTGGTGGCAAAAGCGGATAGAATTCTAGGGGCTATTCTAGGGGCTATTTGTCATAGAGAGTCACTCAGTGTAATTTTATCCTACAGTAAAAGTTTTGTAGTTTATTAAAATGCATGAAATATTCGTCCCTTACAATGCTCGATACCATAGGTAACTTTTCTGACATAAACCTGGACCCAACAAAAGAAAAAAACATAAAATAGAATACAATTCAGTTCAATGCAATATAGCGTAGTGTAATGCAATGCACGGCAATATAATCAATGAGATGAAATACAACAACACGAGGTGGGTGTTAATTCTACGACGTCGAAAATAATTTTAAAAAAATCTTTGTGTGTGGGTTACACACAACAAATAATATATAGAAACCAACAAGCAAAGATGAACGAAAGACAATAGTTTAAATTTAAAAAAAAAATACTGTTGTCCAGCCTCAGCTTAACTAACACTTCCTGTGATACGGAGAGTGCCATTTCTACTACGGCCATTTCAATATCAAACGTCGATTAATAACTTTGTATTAACAATAGTAGGATTTAAGGCAGGTCTCACTAGTCTTTGGCAGTTTATCGAAATCCAAGGAAAATATAGATCAATAATAACTTTACCCAGCAATTCATCCCGTTTTTTGGGGAAAGAGCTCCTAGTTTCCTGGACCGGAAGTAAAAGAGGTCTGGAAAGGACTGACTCTTGGAAGATATTTTAAAGAATGGTTTCACGCAAGACGAGTGACACAAAAAAAGCCAATCAGCGATAAGTTTGGACCACGTGGGGTCGAAAGGAGACAGGGCGCGCTCTTCAAATCTTTCCATTCCGACAACAATGCGTGAGAAGATGGCGGACAGTTTTAATCTTTCGAAAGAAGCAACTATGAAATTCTTCTTCAAGGCTCATGGGGTAGCGAACCCCAACATACATTTGACGAATTGCAATGATAGAAATAGGTAAGTGATTTTTGTTTTAAAAGGTTTCATTTGCATGAATTTGAAACAAAAAAATTTCCTACATGAACCACAACGTGTTGCACGGAGTAACTTGTAGCTCTGTTGGCTGCGGAAAATTCACTTTTTACTTTAGCTAAAGTTTGGTTCGGAGATTCTGTTAAACATAAGTGAGCTCAAATTGAATGACATACTATCATTTCAGTTTTCGTTACAGAACTTACCAGAAGAATTCCTAACTTCTTGGCTCAAATTCTTGCGTTCGTCAAATGCAAATGTCGCAACCGCGAAATATGACCGACACGCTGCAGTGGAAATAGAAGGAGGTGAGTAATAATTCATTACGACAATTTTTCTCACCAGTGGAGATTTCAGCACTTCAAACCGAATGCTTAAGACTTGAGAATAATTTGTAAGGCAATTTTTTCAAAAGTGAAAAAAGTCTCTAAAACACTTGCAGCCGCGATTGGCATTTGGCGCGTAAAACACGTGCTGCATGTTTCAAAAACAATTCTATTTTTCTTTTGTCTTACACATTAAATTGTTTCATTGATAGCAAACTTGCTGAGTCAAACTAGATAATTTGACGGCAGTAGAGTCTTTTTTGCGTTCTTTTTTCCGTTCATGTTAAAGTAAAAGTTATGTTTTCGGCTTCAGCTTCAAGTTTCTACGCAACAAAGCAAAGTTCGTATGATGCACGATCCTCGCAAAGTTCGCGGCTAACAATCTGAAACACGTACCGGTCACTTTATCATTTTAGCTTTTTATATTGTTGTTTGTTACATTTTTTCTTTTTTTTTTTCGGCGGGGCCCCGTTGTTTTTAAAAACCGCTAATTCAGTCCATTTTTGCTTCCTCCAAAGTAAATGACTGCCGTTTAAAAATACTCCTACTGACAGTTTACCCACAAAAAACAACTACATTTGAAAAAAATTAAAATAGTATCTTTTAAAATTAAATAGACTGTAAAGGTATTCAAATCGAAAACAGGTTTTCCTATTTATTTTCTCAGAACGTGTTCTAAGAATATTCCTGATTCTTGCTATTCCTTTCCGATACCGTTTTAATCCTTTCTTCGGTTAAAACAATTTGGAGATAAGAGCATTCATAGCGAATCAATTCCTCATTAACAAAATTGCGTAGTTAAATTCGGAACTCACAAACTCTCTAAAAACTTGCGTTATTTAGTATGGTAGATAAATGTTCCTACACTTGTTAAGATATTTACTGTCCTGGCTTGAGTTTAAGCTCTGGCAGGGTTCCCGCGCTCCTTGAAAGTCCTTGAATTTAATATTCTGTTTTCAAGGACTTGAAAACCCTTTAATTTAGACTAAGGTCCTTGGAAATTTCTGAAAAGTCCTTAAAAATAAGTGCAGATGCATGAAAGTCGAAGTTTTCTTTGTTTTCGGTAATGAAAGTGTAAGTTTCTAGCACAAATCGCGAAAACGAGCTTTCTTCTCAATCCCGCGTCTGATTACAATGTTTGAGTGAGTTTGTATCTGTTACTTTTAACAATAAGGAGCAATGTTTTTTTTTTATTATTTATTTCTATCAGCTCCTATTTAATGCAAAAGGTCCTTGAATTTGAGAGCAAAAGTCCTTGAAAATGACCTAAAAAGTCCTTGAATTGGGTTCCTGAAAAAGTGCAAGAACCCTGGCTCTGGTCTTATCTGTATTATATGCATGGCTCCATTTATTAGTTTCTAGTAATTTTCAACTGATACTTGCTTACAAATAGCATTCGGTGACAAAGGTGCTGTTTTTATATTAGTTGCCTGTTCATCGTTCATTCATGTATGCACCATTCAGTCAGTTTGTCATTAAGGTGGCTCGTACTAGTTTCGAAATAATTTGGATATATCAACTAAGTTGAAATGGTAAATTGGCCACCGTAACGATTACAAAAGCTGACGTTTCGAGCGTTAGCCCTTCGTCGGAGCTAGTTTCCTCGCGCTAGTTTCCTCGCGCGGGGAACAGATTACTCTTGCGTCACGCGCGGGAGAAACGTGCGAAAGAAGCGCGAGATTAAAAGACGAAAATTTAAAACAAAGATGGCGGCGCGAAGAATTTTTCTACTTACGTGAGAAGTTTATCTAAGAGCTTGTATTTGATGTGTTAAGCGGCCACTGTAAATGCAGGGGATGGAAACTAAGATAAAGAAGACGATTTTCGGAGAAGTGAAGGTTGCTTCACTTCACATTTAAAAGAAGTATTCAATCGATATAAAACCTTGCGACGGCGGAAAAAGAATTCAAGTGAAGGATAATCTACCTGAAGTGGAAGAAGACTTTGAAACTTAAAGGAAAATAATATGATGTAGCCAGAAGTCGTGTGTAGGATTTTTAAGATGAGCCCGGGAGGCTGTCTTTGACAGCTGTTTAATGATTTTTTTAGCAGTAAACGTCTTTAAACATCAGATCGTAGGCGCGCGCGCGAGCACACGCAATTGTCAGCGGTAGCTATAACAGATCATGAGCAAATGTCGATCTTATAGAATCCAGATTTTTAAATGCGCGAGAACGCGCGTGGAAATTGCTAAACTCACGAAAGCTATTGCATGAAAACAAGTCCGGTGACCCCTTCTTTTTATTGTTCCAATATGATAATAACGTCGAAAGGAATCATCAGAAAAAAAA